TGTGTGTCTAATTGGTAAATTTATTTTGGACACTCGTACGTCGTGCTCTGTCTAAGAAGAGGTACTGAAGAGCGGAGCTAGCGCGCTCTTTAATTTAAAAAAAATAGGTATCTGTGCGTACATATTACCTACAAAATTCTAGATATATATATATATGTGTGTATGTGTGTGTTGTGTAGCACGTCTTACACAAATCAATAATAGATATGAATGTAAGAAATATTTTTAAAGTTCAAAAGACAAGACGATGAAATCTTTCTAGTACTGAAATGAACCAAGTATTTATTTATTCGGTACTTATTAGTTTTTGGTAAACGGTACCAAATTTGTCTAATATTGTTTCAATAAGATATGTAGACAAAATATTTGGGATTCGGAAAATGAATTAATTTTGTAGCGCTACCGAAACATAATTACACGAATAATTTTTCGTCTCAATATTTTATCGTCCTAACCGAGAAAAAAAATTCACAACAACAACATGACGCGGGAATGTTCGTAATATTTTCACAGGTTCAGTGAAGCATAGTTCGAATATTCTGCCTGTTAATATCAAGATACTGGAATGTTTAATTACGGATGTGACATACTTTGATCGCACGGTTACTGTTTGTTGGCGGGGATGGCGATTACTGAACTTAAGGGATGTCAGCTTTAAGGCAAAACGCACATTATTTCTCAGACGAAAGACTCTCTATATATATAATGAGTCTTTATATATAGAGAGTCTTTCGTCTGATAATAATATATTATATTAGAACAATTTTGCATTCACAATGCTATACTGAAAAATATTCTTCAAGAAAAATAAAAAGTAACAAGTGCTTGACAAATTCGACAGTCCTGTTAAGTCCTGGATAGCTCAGTGGTTAGAGCAGTCACTCGGATTGCGAAAGGTCGTAGGTCCGAATTCCATCTCATGTGCCAGGGACCAAGTGGATTTTTTAACCATTTTTCACTAAGAATATGTAACAATATAAACTGGCAAATGCTAGTTGAAATTCTATTGAGATGAGGCTATTAAGTCAACATAAGCAGAGATGGTCTTACACACGTGGTTTTAAATGTTCCGCATTTCATGGGTGTACAGCTAACAACGTATACTGAGGACTCTGACGTCCTTAGTTTACATTTATTATCTTAATAAATGACACTCAAGTTTGTTTCACTTCATTTTTTTAATCATCGCTAATTATTTATTTTTTAAATTGGTTGATGCACCTATTTAACCTCTTTTCTATGTTCTGAGCTCTTTTATTTAAGACAACAATTTATCTTAAGGCATTAAACTGCGCTTTTCAATGGTTTTTATGACACCAAGAAAGCCCTGAGATCTAACAAAAATATGGCAATAGTATAATATTTCCGTAGTGGCTTGCGATCTCATAGATTGCACCGCTGCCGGAGAATTAGCTCGAAAGCCACCACAATTATTTACGACTCTTCCACCGCGGAATTACAACCCGTCGTCTTTTATGTTTATTCACGGGTTATAATTCCCATGCGGAGAGGATTATTTGAAAACGTAAACGTAGGTGCGTTCATATTTCACAGCCACTGCTGTGCCACTTGTGAAAGTAATCACCGTCGTATGCACGCGAAATTATCCCAGCGAATTTAAATAGGGCTGTCGCATTTGCAATGCATCAAGAGAATATAATAGTAGTTTGTTTCAGACGTATTGGCTTGTTCCCTTTGAGCGAGCCAAATATCTCTCCGTTCGTTACTGAGTTATTGCTTTGTGCAAGTAGTGTGCACATTCTCTCCTGTTACTACATTGGTGAGTAATACAAATTAAACGGCAGTTTAATGGCTTGATTAAAAGAATGAACGTTTAATTCCAACAAGCATAAGCTTACGGTAATATTTCGCGTGTAATCCCGTCGACGTATAAAATATGAGCCGTCAGTTACCATTATACTGCACAATTTCCCTTGTTCCATTGTCATAAATATTGTCCAGGGCTTTGATATATTAATTGTAACTTCACATGAAGGTAAAATGAAATTAAAGTTGAAGTCAATGTCTGTGACTTCAGTTTTAATTTCATTTTACCGTTCATGTTTCTCTGTGACATTTATAATCATCACTAACCTGTTGATTGTTCCAATCGAAAGATGAAGGGGCCCTCTACGCTGGTCCAGTGCGGATTAGTGGGTGTTACGGCTTAACGTGCCTTCGGAAGCACGGAGGAGTTCGAAATATTAATTTTTTTTGGTCACCCATCCTATCAACCCGGCTATTGCGCTCAAACTCGATGGAGTTGCATTGCCTTCCACATTAACCTGGCCTTTTCAGGGTGGAGTGGAAGGAGAGCCCTGGTTTAAAGCTTAAGGTGCATTTCTAAAAAAAAAGGATAGGCTATAACTGACGTTAGTAAAGTCGCGGAAAAACAGCTAGTGTAATATATGGTGATTATTTTTTTTTAAATTGCTACCCAAGGTAATAATCAAATGTATTAAGCAAATTCTCATGTCCCATACTCCTCCGAAACTGCTTGACCGATTTCGATGAAATTTTATATGTCTATTCTATAGTCTAGTAGGTTTAAGAATAGATTGTTATCTATTTTTTATACCCCTAAGTGATAAGTCCACCCCAAATTTATATGGCAAAACAATATTTGCCGAGTCAGCTGAAAAATTCATATAATTTACTTTTTATGAAGAAAATCTTTAGCAAAAGTATATTCATTTATTGAAATCTCATTCTGGAAATGCTTAGGCAGCCATAAAATAAATGAAATATAGCGTTTATGCATCGGTTGATTTGCGTGACTAGATAAAAGGCCTTTGTATCAGATAAGATTTGATCACTTCGAGTATTTCTGCGTTAAATTAAGTTTATATTTTAGAAACCGACTAGTTAATGAAGAGACTGATTTTAAGAGAAATTTTCGCAATTTCCTTAATAACGACAATACATTTAGGCCTATTGTCTGGAGCCGACTAATGGATAGATTCCCAAAGGTTAGTAAAGCAAATCGTCTGTAATTGACTTTTATAAATTATTCATAGTATTTGTTTCTTCGCAGCGGAGGCGGACGCGAGATGACGCACGAAACAAATTGAGTTTTGATGTCGCCGTTAATGATTTTCTGCGGTATGTTGCCTGACAAAAACTTTAATGATAAATTTTAATAACTCCAAACGCGAAAGGTCTTTTGGCAACAATATTCGTTTTTAAGTGCCAATTAGGTGTCTATAATTAACCCCCAGTTGATGGACATTTTTTGAGTTTTCTCCTTTATAGGCTTTTTTATGTTATTTATCTCCAAGCTGGCTTAATGCGAATTGGAAGATTTTAACGACTTCAAATGCAGCCGGTACCAACAGCTTAACGTGCCTTCCGAAGCACGACGAAGCTCGAGATAATAATTTTTCGGCCACCCATTCCGCGATCGACCCTTGCGAAAGTTACTTAATAACAACAATCGTGGGCCGTGAGTTGCTTTGTGTAAAAACAAAGGTGCCACAACTACCTCTAGTCTTCATCATTAGATAAGGGATTGGGTGAGAAGCACTCCCTGGTGGTTTTTAGGCCCATCTCCAAGAACGGCACGGAGGTCGTATCGGTGGTATGCAATCCGCGTTTTCAATGGCCTAAGGGTGGGTCCGTGTGGATGGAGAATCCCACATACCCTCAGAAGCCTCAAGCGGCGGGGATAGTGCATAAAGCCCATTCTTACAAAAAAGGCAACTTAAAAATATGGTTTCAATAATAAGACAGCAATCTTTTAGCGAAATCACAGATATGGTGAAAAGTAGTGTGTTCTAATTCTATTCGGTACAATCAATATCTTACGATATACTATCTTAATAAGTGTCAAAACTTCTGTGACAACTTTATTCCCTGTAACAACATTTTTGAGTAAAAATATGTTCATAGATAGTTTGGATCTGGTACATGTACCCTATAAATTATAATAACAGTAAGAGTGTGGTGGACAAGTACACTCCGTACAATTTACAGTTCCATTTAATATCAGCCATGCATAGAGAATGTTGCGGTACACATTAATTTTCGGTCGAGCTAGGTAATCTCTGCTATAAAAGTTCCTGCTTCGCATGGGCGAGGGTCGAATAGACTATGAATATTGTGCATTTGCTATTTGTTTTACACGATATTTCATACGAGTTATATTTTAAATGAATTAGATACAATTTTTATCACGATATTATTTGTGGAGAGCTCGTCGATTTGAGCTTTGCAGGTTCTATATGTTAACGTTTAAACATAGCAATGTTTCTACGTTAATTTAACAAAATTAGTATCTTCGATGAAAAATTATTAAAAAAAATCAAGATATAAAAAAAAACAAGTTAGATGGGTTAAAAAATCAATATATAAAAAAAAACAAGATGGAGCCCACAATCAGGCGACTGCTCTAACTATTGAGATACTCGTACCTAAGACACAATAGGATTGAAAATTTCTCTAACAGCTATCATTTTCGCTACTAGTGAGCGTATTTTTATAAATGTTCAGGCATTCCCCCCAAACAGCCGAAATAAACATTTTACAATATTTTAAGATAAAAATCTGTTCCAATATTGGATCGATTTTGTATAAAATTAATCGAATATAAAAACTAGTATCTACTTTAAGGCTTAGATTACAAAGAAAATTTATTTTGATTCCTCTTTAGTTTATTACTTGTACGTATAGTATACTTTACAGAGATACATATTCTTAAAACAAATGGGCATTGGAAAAAACAAGATCGTGTCTCGATAAACGTCACATCCAATCACCCGGTGTTCTATTACAGATTGTGTGATGTTATTTACGCGGTACCAATCAGTATGTAAATATATAGGGTAGGTGAATGCTCTGTAGTGTGTGGGTGCGAGTCAGCTTGGCGGGGCAGCCTTCGCCGCGTCCTGCCATCGTGCGCACGCACAAAACAAAGTCTAACACTATTTGAAATGATCTTATCCCATGTACCGAACAAATAAGGCAAATAAAATTCCGTTCCAAGTTCCAAGGAGTAATTCAAAATGCGTTTCCTTATGATCTCTTTTGTGATTCTTGTGTTTCATATACATATAGTGCATTTGTTGGAGAAAGTAGAACGTAACTGTAATTGTGTTTTGAATGACAAGGTTCTGCTGAAACGTGCGACTTTACTTTCAAAATACGTGTTCACAGGGAAGGTGTATAGTGTGAATTATATTAATAATACGAGAGTGTATAAAGTTAATATACGGAGGGTTTTGAAAGGGGATTTGAATGATATTGGAGTGACAGTTCGGTTTGAACAACCTAAATCGTTGAGGTTTAGTGATGCGACAGTGTTGGTGCACAGTTTACGGTCTACGGAATGTCGCCCTATGCGCGTACGCACGTATGCGATATTTTTGACGGAGAGGCGTGGTGAAGGACCATTGAGACTGAAACTAGTCGTTGAACCCGTACTGCTGACTTTAAGGAATCTTGCTGTTATAGAAGCAGCGGTTAAAGGTAAGTTGAAATGATCATTTTGGATTTAATAAGTTATGCTTAAGTATAAAATGCTCTCATCGAAATTCTAAAACCGCTGTGTCAACATATTACTTTTATATTTATAAAAGGATTTTTTTAACTTATTTCAAGATTTTTATGACATAGAGAAACATAGTCAATACAATATTATAGTTTCTTTATAGTTTTAGCGGCTTCAAAATTATACTTTTGCCTTAGCAAAGAAGCTTATTTTAAACTGAACAATATTGAACATTCGCAAAACTATTAGAAAGTTGTACGAAACTAGTAGACAGGAATATGTGAATTCAGATTTCACCTCCTTTTATAGAAGTTGTCTAGACCGCAAATAGAGCAAAAACAGAATTCAATCAAAAGTACGTCAAAAACATGTATCGCTTCGAATTTTTTCATTACTTTATTGTTATCATACTTTTTTCATAGACTTTTATAATAGGTATCTAATGAAATGAAATTACATTGAAAATTATCATGGATATTAACATTAGAATAATAGTTATTTATGGAATGACTACTATGTAACTTTATTTTTATAAGGTAGGCGATATTTCTGCGCTATGTCAAGCGCTACGATGAGCAATCCCTTATTCTAACATAGAAAATTATCAGTTTAACATATTTTAACAAAATAAATGGAAATGGGCACAAGGAAACGTAAAAATACAGAGTAGTTTTCATAGCGAAGCTCTGTATTTGAATAATTGAACTCGTAATATATATCACTATATAACCTATCAAGACTAAAAATCGAGTGAGGAATTCGACATTTTTGTTTAACCTGACATGATGTTGACTGTATATAGTAAAATATGTAATTCACTTGTTGTTTGCAAGTAAAATGAAGGGGCAATTTATAATAGGGCGGGGCAAAATGCCACTAGCTGCAAAACGCTGGTGATCATGACCGGTAGGCGACGAATAACCGGCGATTTCAATATTGAGATTATTTATGACTAGCAATCGTTCAAACCCAGTATTTATCTTCAACTAGAGACCCGCCCCGGCTTTGCACAGATACAATTTGCATAGTGAGCTCCTAGTAAGTAACATATTTTCTAATATCTTTAACAATAATAGTTATTTATAACCCATTGCATAAAACCTTAGTTTTCACATCAATGATTTCCATTCATAAATGAAACGGCTCGTTTAAAGAAAGACAGGTGTGGTATCGCTGGGTATCGCTGACTTATATTATAAATTGAAAATTCACGATGTATTATTAATTAATATATTTACAGTAATGCCGTTTTGATAGTTACATTATTAATAAGTTTCTTTACTCCATATTTGTTCATTAAAATACCTTGTCATAGTCAAGCAAGATTTGTGGTTATGTTATTCTGTGTTTGTGTATAGTAATAGGACTTTGAGAACCGGTTTAACATAAGCTCCTTTGGATAGGTACAATGAACACATTTTCAAATTAATTTGTGTTCTTACGATTAATATTGAATATTGTTAGAGATAACTGTTGTTTTTGATTCACGTACTCCTCTACACTTAATACTGAATCAAGTATGACGTATGATGAATATGTAAGTCTATTATGAAATCAGATTAGAAGTTTAAATTTTATATTATATTATTATAAACTAACACTACATATGAGCATAGCTTGATTTACAAATAAAATGTAATAATTTATTATTACATATCACTAACTGAATTGCGTTACGTTGAATTACGCAAATTCAGTTTTCTAATAACAAGTTAGTGCCCCATGTGCGAGAGAGTTTGTTTTTTAATAAACAAAAAAATATGGACTGGCGAAAGTTTCAGTTTTTCGGGCGTATGTCAGACCTATATCAAGGCGGGCGTTGATATTGTTCCCGACATACTTGCTTAAATCGGATCTAACCGTACCGAGAGTAATATCTTCTTAAGATGTGAATATCTACTTGAGTACGGCTTGCGTTCTGAGAAATAGGAATGAAGGTTATATGATTTTCGAACAGAAACGTTTCAAATTATAATATGTATTGATTGTTATATGAGTATTCTGAAACAGACATTAAACTATAAATTAAAAAAGCTTTCAAATAGACAAACAAAAAGAAAATAATAAAGAGAATCTACAAAAAAAATTACTAATGCAGGTATTTTTTTTTCCAAACAACAAAGAAAAGACAATCAATGACCTTGATAAAAAGATACATTTACGTAAATAAACACACATACATACAATAAATAAATTAGATACAAATTGCAAGATAGAGATGTGTTCATGGACCAGACTCTTAAATTTGACTTTGTGGGAGCTTTCTTATTGTAAAAGGGTAAGGTATTCCGGAGCCGTATAGCAGTAAGAGTCAATGAGTAAAAAACGAAATCAGAAGAATGGACAGGCGTTTGCAGACAGAGGCTGTTAACAGGGCGAATTTTACGGACGTGAGAGGAGCCCAGAAACTGAAATCAAGATTTGAGATATGCTGGGACGCTTTGATTAAAACTTTTAAGTACGGACGCCGAAAAATGAACTCGATTTGTTAATAATCTAGAGATGTTTGGTATGCGGTATGCGAGTTCGGCATCTTTTTCGCTATTAGTATTCGGCCGAATTATTCGGTTTGAGTATTTCTATTTTCTTGACCACACGATACAGTATAATAATAAAGACAAAACATCTTACGTGAGATTTATGTTATATTATAAGTCAAAGAAATCCTATGATAAACAAGTTCAATATAGCTAATAAAATAAAGCAATTAATCTTCAAATTGTAATTTTTTTTTACTTGCTTACGCGTTAATAAGTTTAGAAATTCGGTCAAACAAATAACCAAATCGTAATAAAAAAAAACAAACTCGGTTTACCATTATTAATGGTAAACTCAATAATAAAAGCTAAACCGAACAATATTCGGTATTCAGATTAAGAAAGAAAGAAAGAAAATTATTAAACAATTAGACTAATACTTATGGAGGATAGATAACTAAAATCAAACTGAAACATTGACAGACAATGTTCATTTGATACATTGATAGGTAATCATTTGAAGTTTAAACTTTATGATATTTATAAGTTCTAATGTGACTAGAATACTTTGCAATGGTTTTATTTTGTCACAGCTTTATATGAAAGTATGTGTACGTAAAATTGTGAGCATCGTTTAAGGACGTATATACCATATTTACCTTGAAGTTGTGACGTCACATTTCATGGTCTACTGTTTAGGTTAAGTTAGACTAATAATTTCAGTGAAATTGTAATCTGACGACGTTTGTAATTAACATTTTATTAATTTTCGTAAAACAACTTTTGAACGGGTAAGCCCCGTTTTGTTGTTAATAGAATTAATTAGAAAATAATTTGATTAAAAACTATATTTGTAACGTCAATGGTACATACAAATTATGATTACACGGTCGTAAGTAATATCTTTATACTATTTTCTAAACGTGCAAACAGCGGTCTCGGTATAACCTTTTCAGTAGTCATAAAGTAGTGCTAATGTGCCAAAGAACGTAATTTATCGGCTATAAAACGCTCTCCTTGGGATTACATAGTAGTTGCTTTCCGTACATCCCCCTGTCATATTTACGAGCCATTGTGATGGATTTTCGAACTCATGTGAAAGTAATTTCAGATCTTCTTGTGTGTGTGTTTTTATTGGTTTTATTATTAAACTCATTATAATTTGCAAAGGTACCATATTTAAATAAACTTACCTACCGAAAATATTGAGATTTGAATATAGGAAACAAAAAGTGATTGATAAATATTCTCTTTCAAACGACGACAAACGTTTCCTTTCAATGTTCAAAGAAGCTTTGGTTATTTTTAGAGTAAACGATAAATCTGCGTTTACAAAGTGCTCCCTAATATTTCACTAATATAAATGAATCAATGAAGTGAATGCATACTTTATTGTACACAGTAAACATTGACATAAAAACACATATTACAAGTAACATAGATGCAAAAGGCGGCTTTATTGCTAGAGTAACAATTTCCACCAGGCTACCGTTGGCTAAGAGTATACCAATGCAGATTCATCAAAGAAAAAAAGAGTGAAGAATATTTATAAAAATAAATACATATACTACTACATACATATTAACATAAGAAATTAAACAAAACAGGATCGAGTAACAGACAAAATAAGTACTATTTCAGGAAGATGAGATAGTACCTACTCTGTGTGTTATTCATTTAAAAAAATTACACTTGAGAACGCCTAAACAGGTAAAGTGCAAAAAATTCAATATGCTAAAAATAAATTATCCGAAATGGATTTCAGGAAGGTTTTCTGATGAAAACTAGAAAACTTATGTTTCGGGAATAAATTAATCTTTCTTATGACATTACCAGAATTTAAACGAATTGAAAAATTTACCGATCTAAGTGCCCGTGGCGGAACGTGTAACCGTAAACTCTCGCAATCCTAATAACTGCACCAACCGATTTCGCACCATGTACTGTAAATTTTTGTATTTTTTACAAAAAATATACAGTATTCTAAATGCATGTCTATTTTATACTTTTAAACATATTTCAATTACGATCAATTGCATGTTATTAGAAGGGGTAGGTGTTGTCAGAAGCCATAAATTCCGGCGAGAACCTATGCATGAAAACAATAATGAAAGTGGATAAGGCGAAAGATGTATGTAAGGATCGTATTTTGTGGCATTCGGTCCTCTCTGCCTAACCCGTAACGGTTACGGTATGAAGATATACTAAGATATGCGATAAATTTATCACAATGTACCTAGATTCCCAATTCAGATTGATGGCTGTCAATGACTGTAGATGCAGCTGGAATCAACGCCTTTAAACATGTACCGAAACACGGAGTTCGAGATAATACTTTTTGATCACCCATCCCATGAGAGGCCTAAGTGAAAGTTGCTTAACTTCCGCATCGCACAAGCTTCTTTTGCACGGACTCTTAAAATCTGGTTGAATATCATACAACACCGTATACTTCGAATGCATCGCCTAATGTAATCGATACACTATCGGTATCCCAACATCACTGATTCAGCCA